CAGAAGGGAGCACAGGGACCCGAGTCCAGGGAATCTGATGGCTCCCCCTCCCCGAAATGGATTCCGTGGGCATCCCTACAGCTGATCACCCAGGTAGTCCCTGCAGGCAAATTGCCAAGGAGAGGCTGGAAGTCCCTTCTGGCAGTTTTCGACTGTACGGGAATGAATTTGCCCATTGAGCCCAAGATCCCATGGAATCGCTTGCATTACAATAGGAAGCAATAGAAGGTTGCTTGAAAAATTAATTTCCCCTCTGTCCACTGTGGGAATTGCAGCTAAGCTCAGAAAGAAAAAGGAATTCCAAAGGGGGTAGCGATGCTCTTTGGCTAATCAAAAAGCCCCATGGCAGCTTTTCCACAAGCCCCGACTTCACTGCAACACTGTATTTTGGGCTAGAACATTGAGGCTTCTCGGTGAAGCCAGCCAGTGGGTGGAAACGACATCACGTTCTCCCATTCTTTTGCCCTGATATTAAAAGTCTTCATTTCTCTGGTCGGCTTAAAAGACAACACCTGCAGCCACCAAACTCCCCTAGCCTGGCCCATCCCATGGATGGCTCACATGCGCGGATGCACAGACGCTGCTTTTGACGCTGCGTTGTGGCTCTCTGTCTTATTCCTTTGCCAAGCAGCGTGCATAGGCGAAAAATTAGAATAAAAGATGCCCGGCGGCTGCCAGCGAATAAGCAAGAAGAGCTTTCGAAAATGTCAAACCGCAGCTTGAAAAACAAAAGCAAGGGGAAGAGGAATGAAAAGTATGAGAAAAGGAATGTCTTGAGGGAGAAAGGTGGGAAGGGAGAGGGAACGGGCAATGACCCCAACAGCTGCAAATGGCCAACCTGAGACCAAGGGGCCGTGGCTGCCCGGTCATCTGGTCCGGTTCCTGGAAATGGACCATCCGGACCCGTCAGCAGCGACAGGCTGAAGCTCTGTCGGCTCGGTTCTGAAAGGCTATCCTGGCTCTCAGCCAATGCAGGGCACGGCAGGCAACGGGTTCTTCTCCAGATGTTTTAGCCTACAACTCCCATCAGGCCTTGCTGGCCTAGCCAATGGTGAGGGGTTATTGGAGGCGTAGGAGAGGCAAAACTGCCCACTTTGATATAAGACTTGATCTGCTGGAGCAGAAGGAACTGTTGTCTCCAAGGCACGGGCGGAGGGGGGCCACCTTCACGTACGGTTTGCCCCCAGGCTCGTGCAGCAGGTGAGCACCTCTGAGCCTCGCGTGTTGGTTGGTGATCTCCTCCCAGATGCCTGCCCAGAGCATACAATCCTCCTCAGGGGGCTTTCCGGGGTGCTCCCATCAAGCGAACTGGTGGGTGGCTTCGAAGCATCGGGGCCTTATGGGTGGTGGCCTGCAGGCTGTCGAACGCCTTTCCCAGAAAGGCTTCCTTGGTCCTTACAGTGTCGTTCTTGTAGCACCAGGTACGTAAAAACTGTTTTAAGTCCCGGGACGTCTTGTCCTTCCGTTTGAAAAGCCCTGTTAGCACATGATAAGAGCTTCACACCTTGGCTGGTTTTCATCATGGTTTGATTTTGATTTTATTCTACTTGAAACATGATCCGTGCGACAGCTTGCAGAGGGGGGGTTCTGACAGGGACACTGATAATGGTGGTCAAGAAACATTCTCTCCTCCCATGAATCATGTACCTTTATATACTAATAGCAAACCCATTCTCTGTGTGGACGTTTTTGCGAAACAGCCTCAAGCAGGGTGGCAGAGGATAACAGTTTATGGGGAGAGGAAATCCTAACAGAATCTTGGAATAGTGGAGTTGGAAGGGGTCAAGAAGGGCATCGATTCCAACCCCCTGCTGTTGCAGGACATCAATTTACAGCATCCCAGCCAGACCATCCTCAAACACACCAGCACATGACAGCTGTGAATAACAGAATTCTGACGGTTGGAGCGGGGACCGAAATACAGAGAGGGGTGGGAATGGAATGGAAGCAACGGGAACAGGGCAAGGCTGGCTGGCTGGCACTTCACTCGGCAACACTGTGTTGCTGGTCCCGCTGGCCTCCTTTTGAAAAGCTGTCGAACAGGAAGCCATGAAAGCCATATTTTAAATTATGCGTTAAGTGAGTATCGACAGTTCTCTGTCCTGGACTTACTGCCCGTTTGTCTCATGGGATGCATTCTGAGAGTTGGGATTACGAGGGGCACAGGAGGAGGGGGGGAGCAGCACCACCTCCCCCTATTCCATTCATAACTCCCTCCTCCTTGTGTCATCCTGTTTCCTAAACTAAGAAGGCCCCAAATGCCAGCCTCTTCTTGCGGAGGCGGTTCGACTAGCCCTTGTGGGCTGCTGCACCGAGCCAACTTTGGTAGTTCTCCGCTTAAAGGTCAACCGTCCCTCCTATTCCACAGTTACTCCGCTTCGAGTCAGAGAGTTTTGGCTGGCGACGGGGGCAATCGCTTTTCAGAGAGTGCCCTCTCCTGGCCATCCTGCCTTTAGGAATCAAATAATTTAAGTTGAGGCGCAAGGGGGGAAAGCTATTGTAGATACAGACTGAGGATGGTGTCCTATATGTGTTTAGACAGAGTCCCAGGCTGACACTAACCACTACACAGCACTGTCTCTCTTGCCAAAGCTAGTGCTGAGACAGCATAATGCATTTATACCTGTTTTAATTTATATACATTATAAAAATGTATTATAATAACAATCTTATATATTATTATATACTATATATTATTAATATTAATTACAATATATTAAATGTTGTTGTAATGATATATATTATTAACATAATATAATATTATTATTATAATATTATTGGTACATTATTATTGTGAGCCGCCCTGAGGCTTCGGCGAATGGGGCAGCATAGAAGCCTTATTAAATAAATAAATAAATAAATAAATAAATAAATCTTTATAAGGGATACCTGAAGAAACGTCTTCTTCCTTATATGCCCTGCTCTGAGAACCCTCCTGAAGGAGGTAAAAAAAGATACCTACTTGGAGGAGGGCCTTCTCTGCGGTGGTGCCCAGACTATGGAATGTGCTCCCCAGAGAGGTTCGCCTGGCACTGAGCTTATACTCTTTTCGGTACCAGGTCAAAACCTTTTTATTCAATCGTTATTTTAAAAATTAGTATTTTAACGTTTAACAGTTGCTTTTCATTTAATTTATTTTTATTGGTTATATGTTATTTAGTAAATTGTTATGGATGGTTTTATTGTATTTTGATTTTAATGATTGTAAGCCGTCCTGAGATGCTATGCATAAGGGCCGGCATATAAAAGTTTTAAATAAATAAATAAATAAATGTATCCCTGCTGGTTCCAAGAATCATCTGCATTTGCTCTGAACATTTGTAAGGCACCTTGCAAATCACCCCCCCCCCCCCAAAAAGGGCCACTGGAGTCGATCAGCACTACATGGCTGGGGCAGGATTGGGTCCTGGGGCTGCAGAGTCCCAGTTCAGCATCGCAACTTTGGGGTGGCCAACCTGCGGCACACAAGGTCACATGCTTTGCCACCAAAATGAGGGGGGGTGGAGGGACCCCCAAGTTTTTTAACGGACAACATTTGTGTCTGAGGCTCGTATGGCGCACCAAACGGTCGAATAAGCTTGATGAGAAAGTGATTTTGAGTCTTTAGGGACCCTGTAGCTGCTACAGAAAGGCCAGAGGGGCAAAATTGCCTTGCAAATAATCTAACTGGAGCCTTTGCTCCAGGCATTTTTTAAAAATTCCCCTCCTCATCTGTTTTAGCACCCATAGCGAGTGTGTGTGTGTGTGTGGGGGGGTAGAAATTACTTCCTGCAGTTGCCCCCTCCTGCTCTAACCAATACATTCCCCTGCTTCTGCCATGATCCCTCAGCGAAAGGGTACCAGGTGGAGAAGAGGCTGCCCCACCTCCAAAAAGAGGGTCCGGGCCCAGGGGTACTCAAAAAGAAGGTTCCTGGAAGCAGTTTAGCTAGACTGGGTTCAAAGCAACACTCTGTGCAAGCTCAGAGACCGTACTTACCGGATATACTTTATTTTATTTTTTAGAGAATAAGGAGCTTTTGCAAACAAATGTTTTGTCGCTGTGAGTGTGCAAAGAGGGAAACCCAGCTTCCGACAGCAGGACACAAGGCCCTAGCAGAAGACTGCAGCGCTGATGCTGAACTGTACAAAATTGGCCGTGACAAGTTCTTTGTGAAGTAGGGAATAGGGCCACCTAATGACAAAGCAGTGAGAAGATGAAACTGGATGCAGGCTGTTCGTCCAGATAATACACTGTGTCCAGGGGTTATATAACAGACTTGTGGATATTAAAACCACTCAATACATTTATGTAAACTGAAAGATTCAGACCTGTTTTGTGCATGAGACCCATTTGCACAATCACCATCTGTGCAAATAATGCCAGGAATACAGAGATCTTGGTTCTGAATGCGCACGACTATTTTGCATACATTTCCAGAGACCTCCCGTCAAAATCTGCCATGATCTGTTTCAAAGTGCCAAGTTGGAAATGCTGTGGAAGTCCACCAAGCTCAAACAAAATGGATTTCCCAGCATCTCACATCCAGTGATGACAATGTACACATCTGTGGCTCTACACAACACTAACTCATGGTTTATGGTAAACACAGTTTGTTGCTTTAGCCGTAAGTCTCTCTTGGAGATGAGCAAGCAAACTGACACTAGTTTTCTCTCTTTCTGATCAAATCCTCTCCCAATCACTTGCCAACCGTCACAGCTGTTTTATCTTCATGCTACCCCTGCAGGGTACCTCTGTTTCATAACATCAGTGCAAACCAGCCAGGGATAATCCATGGTTATGGGTTTTGACTTCACAAGAAACCACGGATTAAACAAGCCAGACTTCATAAGCCAATGACAAGCTATGGTTTCTATTTGCGGCTTGTAGCTCCTTAGCAAGTCATGGCTTCAGCAAACCACACCAAGGCTTAGAGTGACCTATAAATTAGTCTGTGTGTTTGTAAGGCGGACATGTATAAATAAATGCAAATTATTTTAAAAGATCCCCATTGTGGTCTTACCTGCAATGCGAAAATTGATATTCACTCTTTGCAGGGGATCTGGCTCTACTCTTGCTTCCAGCTGCCATATGTCTCTGGAAAGTGTTTAAATGGTGGATTTCTTCATTCCTCTCCATACTGTAGTTGGACGCAGGTCTCCTTTGCTGAACGTGTTGTATCTCCGATTCCAGTTTGGAAAATGGGTTGTCTTTGCTGTTGGCTGAGCTGTTGACACCTGAGTCTGTGTAGGTCTTAGGCAGCACATTGGGTGAATGATCCTTGCTTTTGCCAAGGGAACTGTCACTGCGGGAACAGATATTTGCAGATTGCCCGGAAATTTCTTTGATCTCATCCGCTGGCACGGTGAAAGAGTTCGTGGTACTGCCTTCCCCCCTAGGTTTCACTGCCGCACCAATTCCAGAGGGCCGCTTTAGGGTCCTTCTTTTCAAGGAATCCTAAAATGAATGGATGAGAGAACATGACTCGAAGGGCTTCCCAAGGTCTCACACATGAAAGGCAGCATATATCCAACAAGCTCCAAGTCTACCAATCCTCCGTGGTTGTGTTGGAAGGAATCTATAATCTTTTGATTCAGGGAGGATGTCTAGGCCCATAAAATTGAACTGGTTGGGGAACTGGATAAAGGAGGAGATGTTTCCATCTTGGTAAGACTGGAGGCACAGCAGGTAGGGTGATGGAGAACCAGCACAGTGCCCCGAGGCTCAGCTCTTCCGTGCCACAACCTTCTCTGGCCCACATCAACCCTTCCTTCCGACCCACAACTGTCGGCCCATCTGCATTCTGAAGCGGGATAAAAAGCATGCGCCCATTGAACCAGCAATTAGGGCAAGACAGAAAAAAATGACTGCAGTTATATTTTGACTACACATTGACAACAAGGAAGGGTAAATGTGCCCATTTAAGGGGGAGGACAGGAGGCGGGAATGGCCAAAAAGTATCTGTTTTCTCCAGACTCCTCTCCTCTCCCACCCTCAAATTACCCCCTTTAACACCTTTTATTCTACTGTATATATTTTAATTGTTATTATTTTAATTTATTGTGTATTTTATTCAATGTTGTGAGCCACCCCGAGGCTTCGGCAAGGGGCGGCATAGAAATGTTTTAATAAATAAATAAATAAATAAACACCTCCCCAAGTTTGATTTTCTGACCTTGGGGAGCCATGGGTGCAGTTCTTTCTGCACCAGCTGCATGGAGAGGGAGAGGGAGAGGGAGAGGGAGAGGGAGAGGGAGAGGGAGAGAGGGAGAGGGGGAGGGAGGGAGGGAGGGAGGGAGGGAGGGAGAGAGAGAGAGAGAGAGAGAGAGAGAGAGAGAGAGATTTTTTCAAAACTGAAAATAAAAATAGGAGATTGGATGTTTGGTGTGAGAGAAAAGAACCTCTTGAGACGTGCCCATCTCTCCGACACTGAGACCGCCAGGCCTGGCTTGGAGCCTCTCCCTCATGGTAGCTCTTGTCTCCAAAGGCAATCCCGGGGGTTGTAAGTCCTCACAAGGGTCGGCAAGTTTCTTCTCTCCCTTAGCAGGTGCACTGCCCTCCAGTGCTGGCCAAGTCCTGCTCCTCTCACTTTTCCTGTGAGGATGCCTCTGAGGAAGGCCAGCTGGAAGGGTTGTTTCCTCTTCGATCTCGTACCTAAAACAACACAGATGTGACCACAGATGAACAAAAGCATCTGCCTTGCACCCAACTTATTGTTTGCTTGAATAAACAGGGCAGTTTATCGAAACTTAAAGGCAACTGTTACGATGCCTTGAAAGAGACCAGAGATAAACTTATGTTTTGACTCATGTTTCCAGTGCTGTTACAAGGAAAGGCAGTTAACATCCCACCTCCCTTGTTCTGTAATATAATTACACATTATGACAAGAGAGGCAGTGGAACAGGGAAGGCACTGTCCTGTGGATGTTTAGATTTAAACTTGTATGATTCCCAGAATTCCCCAGCTAGCATGGCTGGTTGGGGAACACTGGGCGTTGCAGAACAGTTTCTTGTCTAAAGATGTGTAAGATGGGGCCCTGAGCTATGAAGCATGACGCCCCCAGTTTGAATCTTCCATCTGCTACAGGTTTAGTGGAAAACTTTAGGCAAGCAACTCTCTCCCCGCCTCTGAACACTTGAAATAATAATTGGTACCAGAAGGTTTGGGCATAGCAGTCCAGTTCTGCCCTGCTTGCTTTGGCTGCCTATATGGAATTGAATGTAGAAAGTATAATTAATCAAAAATATAAAGGACCGCAGAATAACATTTCTAGGTGAAGTTTCCAGAAGATGCAGAAACAAGCGTTATTGTGTATGCTAGAACAAGGCACTGCTTTGTGGGGTTCTGAGGCATTTGTGAGTTGAAAAGAAGTTACTATATTTTTAAGAATTATCCTACTAGGCATGAAATGGACTGTAAGTGGCAAAAAAGCAGGAACAGAAACTGCACAGGGGCGTTCAGATTATATCTATCAACACATACAAGAAAGATACTCTTGTGCTTGGTATTGATCCATTCTCGCAACCAGCCCAAGATTAACATGAGATATAAAAAAAATTTCTGCATTGTTTACTTTGGAGTGAGTCCTGCTAGTTCTATGGGTCTCAGCCCTGTTTAAATCTGCAGCCTAGAGATTCCCTGTTTACCCGCAAACATAGAAAAATCCAACCCTTTCACCGTGCCAGCATGCTTGAAGGATACACTCACTCTTTACAGAGAAACGAGCACCACGGCCCAATCCAATTTACTTCCAGTAAGTATGCACAGGATCACATTTTACAAAGCAGTAGCAAAGATGATATATAGTTGTCCTTTTTTAGTACAACACCAAGACCATGGGGATTTGTAAAAAAACTACATTTCCCACTGCTCTTGTAATTAACAGCAGTTCTTTATAGCATTCCTCAGAAATGGGGAAAACTTCCAGAAAAGGTGATATCCATGGAGCAGAGATTCAACAGGTGAGGTCAACTTCCAAGCATAGTGATCCAGAGCAGAGGAAGTTTTCCTTGCTGAATTCCTGCCTGTCCCTTAAAAGTGTAAAAGTAAAAAGTTCATGCATGTTTAGACAAGGAAGGGGGGGACCCTATAGAATGGTGTGCTTTAGCATTCTAGGAGTTGTATACCTTTTTTCCCGCCTATACACGTATTGCACCTTAAGAGCCGGGACTGCTTGCTATGAGGAAACTGCAACCCAGAAGGCACAATTGTATGTGTATTAGAAAAGAAAAGGCTCTACTCAGGAAAAAGAAACCAAATGCACAATTACAAGATGGGGATACTTGGCTGAACAATTCTGCAAGTGGGAATGATCTTGGAATTTTTTGTAACTTGAGTCAACAATGTGATGTGGATGCAAAAAAAGGCAAATGCTATTTTTAGGCAGCATTAATAAAAGTAGCACTTCGAAATAATGTGAATTTCTAGTTCTCTTTTACTCAGTTAGGCCTCATCTGGATTCCTGTGTCCAGTTCTGGGCACCGCAGTTTAAGAAAGGTGCAAGCAAGGTAGGAAGGGTTCAGAGGAGGGCAACAAGGATGATCCGGGGACTGGAAACCAAGTCCTGTGGAGACAGATGGAAAGAACTGGACTTGTTTAGCCTCTAGAAGAGTGAGGGGGTATAGGATACCACTAAGTACTTGAAAGGCTGTTCCAAAGAGGGCCAGGATCGCTCCTCAATCATCCCCGAGTGCAGGACATGGAATAACAGGCTCAAGTTAAAGCAAGCCAGGTTCCAGCTGGACATCTGGAAGAACTTCCTAACTGCTGGGGCAGTACAGTAGTGGGATTAATGGCCTGGGGAGGCTGTGGCTCTCCCACACTGCAGGCATTCAAGACACTGCTGAACCGGGATCGGTTAGGGATGCTTTAGGCTGCATCGAACAGGGACTGGACCTGATGGCCTTCTAACCCCCTTTACTGCTCTATTAGTCAATTTAAAAGCCTACAACTCCCAGCATTCCCCAGCAAGCCACTCTGGGCAGAGCATTCCGGGAGCTGTAGTCCCCCCACGTGTCTGGAATTGCACCTTTCTGTCTAAACACGGATTCGACCTAAAGCGGAAATTGGAGTGGGGGGAAAGGAGCACATGCACCCTAGTAATTCCTGAGGTTTATTCAGAAAGTAACCGCATTGCTCTCAATAGGATCTGCTGCCTGATGAGCTTGCTTACGATAGCGACGGCAGCCGCTTTCATGGCTTCCCGCAACAGCTCAGCGACACGCCCACTTCCTCCCGCTTGTCCCAGCCTTGCGTGGCAAGGGAACCGCTCGCGCGTGCGCACTCGCCCGGCCGTTCTTTCCCCCGCCCCAATCCTTCTCCTCCCGCCCCGTCCGAATGCTCTCACCATAGAGAAGCTGGCCAGAGCATCCACTCCTCCAGAGCCTCCCATTGGCTGCTCTACACCAACTCCAGGGGAGGGGACGAAGAAGAGAAGCGTCCAATTCACGGTCGCGCTGCGGAATGGGGAGGGAGAGGCGAGAGGAAGCGAATGCGCATGCTCACAGAGGTGGTATAAATAAGACGCGCGGCGCGTGGCCGTTCGCCATTTTCTGCTGTGTGGGTGCGGGTGTGGTTCCTTTCTTGCGGGGTGGCGGCGTTGGCTGCGTCATAAAGGGCTGAGGGCGCAAACAGAGGCTTCTCTATTAAGTGAACTGAGTGATTTTTCAGCTTAGGAACTACTGACTAGCGGGCAGGGACTTAGAATTTTGCAGTCGCTAACATTTTAAAGGTCTTAAGGGAGTGGCGCTCCAATAGAATAGGCTCTTGAATCCCCTATATTATATTTTTTAATCTGTATTTTTATTGGCTTAGGAGTGGGTGCGGTTGACTAGAAAAAAAGGAAATCTTGACTATCGCTGAGTTAGTTATAATTCATTCATATTGCCTTATTTTCTCTTGGGGGGGAGTTTTCAATGGCTTATATAGCTCTGTACTGTATTTTTAGCCTCACAGCAACCCTGAAAATGCCAAAAACCTTTTCTATTAGTGTTTTGTTACTGCTAAACAATAAAACTACCATTCAAGTATCTGTCTTAAAGATATTTAACTGGTTCTATTGTTGAATTCTTTTTAAAAAAATAGTGTGATAAACTACTCTGAATTACACGGTAAGGTGGGAAAGGGAGACCAGCCTAGGAAAAGGCTTAGAAAACAGGTGAAGATTGAATTTTGGTAGGCAGCCAAGGGAAAAATTGAGTCAGATAAAAATCTAACGAAAAGCAAAGTAATACAAGATGGGGATGAGTTTTTAAACCAGATAGTAAGGTTGGAGGTGGCAGTTTCAATATATATTTACTTTTTCCCAATAAAATAGAAAGTTCAGAAGCCTAGCTGGCTTGATTCTGACTTGAGATAATTGCAGGCCGTATCTAGAAAAGTGTAAAATCTATTTTCAGTAAGCATATAACTTGTCTGCCATGGACTAGAATTAAGTAAGGATTTCTTTATCAAGATGTACAGGTTTTGCCCAAAATCTATAGAAGTGCCTGCTGTTGAAGAAAGATACTTGTTGAGGAGATAGGGTCAGTAAAGAGGGACCCATAAGCTTCCTGGGAGATTTACCTTATTAAAGCTTCTTTTCTCAAAACGAGCTACAGTAGTACATTGGCAGAATAATGGCTGATTTTGCTGTCTTTTTCACAGAATATCATTTCTGCTAGTTTAAACAGGCTTCAAGTCCAACATGGTCCAGCCTACAGAGTTTGTAGGTCTTTGTCTAATTCTGCATGGGATGGAGTCTTAATTTCTAGCCATGCAAGAGTGATAAACTTGAAACCATTTTGCAAGATGAACAGCATTTTTCAACTTTAGTTACAAGAAATAGATAATTGCAGCCTACGTTTTAAGGATCAAAATATGCATATACCTGTAGGTCTCCTTTTTGCTTCTTTCAGCTACTCTTTGCCCCAGGGTAGCTTCAGGGAGAGAAGTCTTAACTGGAGTGCTTTCTGTACATCTGGTCGGGGGAGATGTGCACCCTTTGCTGCTCCTCTGGCTGCTTGTATGCTCCAGAAAGAAGTTAGTCATAATTTCAAGAATTGATTTTAGAGGATTCTGCTTTGCCTACAATAGAAGAAATGGGGTGATAAGTCAGTGTGGGTTGAATATTTGTTCTTATCAGGGCAGTGACTGAGACTTAGAAACCTAGAAACTGTGAGTCAGAAGGGGCCTCTCCGGCCCTCTAGTCTGTCCCTTGGCTTCAGCCAGCTCTGCTCACGACATGGCTGCCATGTGCATGTCCAGCTTTTCCTTGAGCACCTTCACCAGTGGTGCCTAAGCCACCTCCCTGGAAGCCCATTCCACACCCTCGGGGTCCTGACTGTCAGGAAGTGCTTCCTGGCATCTGAATGGAACCTGGGCTCCCTGTGCTTTGGTCCACTGGAGCGTGACCTGCCTTCCTCAGTAGGGGAAAACAGGTCTCTACCCATCTCCATGTGATATCCCCTCACATACTTAAATGTTGCCAACGGATCCCCTTGGAGTGTCCTTCAGGGTGAAGAGACCCAGTTCCCTCAGTCTCGCCTCATATGGCATCCTCTGCAAACAGGCCACCAACCTTTTGGCCCTATGCTGCACTGACTAACCTGGCTATATCCTTCCTGTAATGAGGGGCCCAAAACTGAACACATTGCTCAAGTTGCGAGTGCACCAGAGTTGTATAGAGTGGCAGTAATACCTCTCTCGCTATAGAAGCCTCACTTGTCCTCTTGACCACCGCATCACACTGCAGACTCATGTTTGGCCTGCAGTTAACCAGCATCCCAAGGCCCCTTTCACAAGTGCTGCTCTTCAGCCACTTGTCCCCTAACCTGTACCCATGACCCCCATTCCTGTGCCCCAAGTGCAAGACCTTGCACTTAATCCACATTGAATGCTATCTTGTCTCCTGCCCACTCCCATAGTCTGTCTAGATCCTTTTGGATCTGGGGTACCTGCTCCTCAGTTGTGGCCACTGCCCCAGGTTTAGTATCATCTGTGAATTGGATTAGCAGACTGTTCACTGCTCCTTCCATGTCATTGATGAAAAGATTAAACTGGATCAGCCCCAGGACGGAGCGCTGGGAGACCCCACTTACCACTGGCCACCATCCCGATGATTCCCCACTAATGGTTTATTTTCTTTCGGTCAGTCAACCATGCTCTAATCCACCGGACAGTGCTTTGGTGTATCCCAAAACTCCTTAGTTTCTCCACCAGGATATCATGGGGCACTTTGTCAAAGGCCTAGCTGAAATCCAGGTAAACCACATCCACTGCATCCCCTCCATCTAGACATCTCGAAACCTTGTAGAATTCCACGAAGTTTGTCTGGCAGGACCTGTTTTTGCGGAAGCCGTGTTGTGTGGCTGCCAGCCTCCTTTCCCTATCTAGCTTCACTAGATCTCACAAGCCTTTCCATTGTTTTTCCTACAATGGACATAAGGCTTAACTGGTCTGTAATTCCCCATGTCCCTTCCACTACCCCTTTTGAAAATTGGAACCACTGACGCCACCCTCCAGTCCTCTGGAACTTCACCCGTTCTCCACGAGGTCTCAAAAATGGAGGCCGGTGGGTGTGAGAACCCCTGCCAATTCTCTCGGGTGTAACCCATCAGGGCCTGGTGCCTTTGTAATGTCCAATGCACTGAGGAACCCCTTGACTTCTAGGGGGGTGACTCTAATCTGTGCCCGTAAGTGCCCGGCCTCATCTAATCTATGTGGGCCTCCCCTGTCCTGCTTTGAGGAGAACACACGAGGTATAATCATTTAGCATCTGTGCCTGTTTCCTCGTATCAGTCACTGGATCTCCTTCCTCCTCACTTAGTGGTTCCACCACTTGTCTCCCCTTTCTCTTCCTATTTACATGCTGAAAGAAGCCCTTTTTATTGCTCTTGATATTCTTGGCAAGTCTCAGCTCATAATCAGCCTTATCCTTGCGAAGAATCCTTCTGCAACGGGCCTCCTCCTCCCAGTATACCCTTTTGTCTGTTTCCCTCAGTGCCCATTCCTACAGAGGTTCCTCTTTCGTCTAATCCCTTTAACCACCTCCTTTTGCATCCATGGCGGCGCTCTCCTCCACCTCTCCACCTTACTGACTAGAGGTATCGTCAAAGCTTGTGCCTCCAAAACTTCCCTTTTGAGTGCTATCCACCCCTCAACTCGCCTTCCAGTAACCTATTCCAGGAGACTTCCCCCAGCTTCTAGTGCTCGACCTGCCGCACATCCCCATTCCCCTGATCTCAAAGCAAAGGATGGAGTGATCACTCACAGCCGGAGCTCCCCTAATAGTACTTAAAATGTCAGCTCCTCCTTGTTGGTCAAGACCAGGTCAAGGATGCCCCCGTCGCCTCTTGTACCCTCTGTGTGAAAAACTCCTAGCTTCTAAGGAAGCGACGTGACCTATATCCGGGAGACTGAAATCTCCCATAATTACTGTGTCTCCCCCAAGATCCTTAGAATCCGGTCGGTCAGGACATCATGCAGGGTCTCAAGTTGACCCTGGAGGGTGATAACATGCCCCCATTGTCAGGTCTCTTTCCCTGTCAGAACTTCTAAGTTTCACCCAGACTGCCTCTACCGGTTTTTTTTTTTTTTTTTTTTATGCTCAAAACATCTAACTATAAAAATTCACAAAAATGTTATACCCGTTCTGCATTAACTCACAATACAAACCAATAACCATTCAGTTCAAACCTGGTAAAACCAAATAACCCAGGCTATTGTAGCACTCCAAGAAAATACACCACCCACAATTTATTTCCAATCTCTCCACGACATCTGAAGCGATAGTGGAGTAGTGACATCGTTGAAACTATTGTGTGTATCATTTGCATCTGCAAAGACCAAGCTAGGCAAATTCTTAGCCTTGCCATCCTTCGGGTGGTCGGTAAAAGAAAGGGATCCACGCAATTGCTGGAACTTACATGGCCAATCACCCATCATCTCTCAAAAGTAACCATCCTCGGGGAATCTTATCCGCAGCTATATGGATACTGAGTGTCCAGGACACCAATTATCTCCAATGCCTGTTGTGTCTCGCTTCTTTGTCCAGTTGAGCACACGTAATTGGCCACTTGAGTACCAATTTGGCAATTCACACAACTCTGCCCTGCCAGCATAATTTCTGTACTCTTGCCATATTCAAAGAATCCTCAGACACGGTACCAGATGCCAATGAACCCTCAGGTGAAAATCACGACCAAACAATTTAACACAAACCAAACCTTAATAATAAAACACTCATCCACTTAAGCCCACTTCGCTTCAAACGTGAGTTGTTCAAGTAACTATTGGAATGCAATGCCCAATTAAGTTAGTATGGTTTTCCCATCAGCATTTCTGTGGTGGTGATACTGGCTCACAGTCCCTAACCACCTTTGCTCGCCAGCGGTCTTCATCTAGGTGTGCCAAACCTTCCAGAGTCTTGGAGTGACGTCATCTTGTCAACAGTTGTAGATCTGCATATCGGCACCAATTACTACCAAGGTTCCTCTACCTTTAACAACCAATCACGCAGTGTGGCCTGGTACTCACACCAGTGTTAGTAATCTCTGAACCAGTGCCCAGCAATTTTATTCCAGCACCTTGGTAGTGTTGTGCCTAACGGCTCGACAGAGGGCCAGAAGTTCACAGTGAGAGTTAGTTGTTGGAACAGGAGGGTTTATACTTGGTGTCCAGGGCCCAAACGGCCCCCCTGCAGCCCGACTCTTGAGGCTTCCTTATGAGTAGCCTCCCCGCATCCTGGCTCTGAGTTGTTGGAGCAGGGTGCAGCTTCCCATCCTCTAGACTCCGAGGTGTTTGAACAAGTTGTCCCCCAGCCTCCAGACTCTGGAGCTGCTGGGCGGAGTCCTGGGGAACAGGAAGACATAACAGGAAATTTAGTCTCCATCCAGTTCAGGAGGAGATTACAGCTATAAGACCAATTGTGGCGGCAGGAGAGAAGTTTGTCCCACCCACGGACAGAAAGGCGTGAGAGAAGATAGAAATCCACATGACCTTCCCTGTAGGTTTCAGAAAAGAGGGGGCAACTGAGCTGCGAGGAGCTCATTGCCAGAGCTTATCTGTTGCATCATAAATCTTGTAGCGATTAGCAATAAAAGTCTTTAGTTTTATTGCCGACTGCTGTGTGAGTTAATTGGAGACGTAAGGTATGGCCTCACGACAGGTAGCAAGGTACAATCAGTTTTTCACACACGGTGAGACCACAAAACTCAGCCCCTTTTCCTATATTGACTTGTGGATCTTGCATGTACATAATGCATGTTTATCTAGAGTCAGAATCCTCGAGACCATGTTAGTATGTGTACCAGTTACAGTTGAGCAACTGGTGGTGTTTCCAGGAAAGACTTCGTGTGCCATCACTCTGCCTCATTCATGGAATTTTATGGGGGTCCAGATTAATACCTGAGAGGTCCTAGACAACTAATAGGGTCCTAGTGCTCTGTCTCAGCCAGCCAGCATTGAACTTCCTTTGTTGTAAGCCGCCCCAAGGCTTCGGCAAGGGGCGGCATAGAAATGTTATAATAATAATACTAATAATACTAATAATAATAATGTTACCTGGATGGTAGATTTTCAGTAAAAGTTTGCACAAAAACTTGAGTCAACTGTCAATGTGGGGATGCTACTGAAGCATCTAGTTTTGAGCAGGCCGTTGAGGTTCTCTGAACCTGCCAGGTGAACACCTGGCAATGAGGACAAGTATCTACTTAGTAGTTCTTGCCTCCAGGCAAAGAAGGCATAAAGGATGCCCATTGGTCAAGGGCATTTGGGTGCCACAGTGTAAGCCCTTATTAAAGGCAGCTGTAAGAGCCATCGGTGGGTTGGGGGAGAGAGTAAAGAATATTTAAAATACTTTTATACTGTTTATTAGTCCAATGACTCTCTGAAATAGTTACAATAAGTTTATTTTTATGAATTATTTATTAAATGCTTTTGTATGCCATCCTATTATACAAGATCTCAGGACGGCTTACAATATTTTAAAACAATTTCAATAAAAATCACAAAACAGAGCAACTAAACTTAAAAGTTGTTAAATTTTAAAATACTGTTTAAAAAGGTTTTGGCCTGGTGCTAAAAAG